TTCAGCCTCAGCAAGAGGAGGCTGAGGGGGGACCTGGTGGCTGCCTACAAACTCATCAGGGGAGATCAACAGCAAATAGGTAGAGCCCTTTTCTCCCCAGCACCACCTGGGGTGACAAGGAACAATGGTCATAAGCTGATGGAGAATAGGTTTAGGTTAGAGATCAGAAGGCAATATTTTACAGTTAGGGTGGCCAAAATCTGGAACCAACTTTCCAGGGAAGTGGTCCTTGCCCCTACCTTGGGCAAATTCAAGAGGAGGTTGGACAATCACCTGTCTGGGGTCTTGTGAACCCAGCATTCATTCCTGCCTGTGGCAGGGGTCAGGCTAGGTGATCTGTTCAGGTCCCTCCTGACCCTAGCTACTATGAAACTATGACACTGGAGGTGGAGACATGAAAAGGTTTTCCAAAGTACTGAATGGTGAAGAGAAAGTCCCTAGGGATGTATTAGACTGTCTCACCAGACAAGAACCAAAGCTCACAACATGAAACTAGGAGGCAGTCAGCTTAAAGCTAACACAAGGAGGTTCTTCTTTCCCCCAGTGTGTTATTAAATGGGGGAACTCGTTGCTACCAGATGTGGTTGAAGCTGACAGTTTAGCTAGATTCACTGAGGGATTGGACCCATTCTGGGAGGAAAGGAGCATTGGTAGCTATTGAGGATGGGAGTGAGGGGCACGGCCTCTGAATCAGAACTTCCTAGACCTTAAATGCTGGAGGCTGCAATTGAGAGAGAAAAGGGAAAAAATCCTGGTCAGACCCAGTTCACTCTCCCTCTCAGCATCCGCTCTTGGCCATCGTGACACAGGAGACTAGGCAAGATGAACCAAGGATCTGACCCAGTCAATAGCATGTCTTATGTAAGCTAAGACCCCTTTTGGCAGGTTGCTCTTTCCACCTTTATCAGCCAAAGCCAAGCTGGAAGTGTATGCCAGGGTAGAGACTACAGAGTCCAAGATGTGCTTCTGCAAAAAGGATTGAAATTTAATGCAACTGGTTTTATTGCCTTAAAAAAACACTAACCACTCAGACTGTGCTCTCTTCTTGCAGCTTTTCCCAAAGGAAAAGAGAAGCAATCATCAACAACAGAGAACAGCTGTGTCCCCAAAGCAGTACTGCTGTCTGGTTGGCCTTCTGTGCAGAGCATAGCACTCTTCACTGTGGGTAGTCAGACCAGTCAGTCTGAGACATACTTCTGTAGCAAGAGAACTATAGAAATGATTCTTGAAAGCAGTCTTTGTTACACGAATTGCTAATTGCTTAAATCATGAGCGAGACTTTATAAAGGGGGATAAGGTAAGGTGCTGCGTTTATTGATTACATGATTTAGACATAGAGGTTTGAACACACTATTTATACAGACACACGCAAATTATCATACACATCATTACACACAGGCATACACAAAACAACTATTTCATTTGCACATACACTAGCTCAGGGTGGCTAACCCAGGCTTATTGAGTAGATGATGATGATTTGAAGATAGCAGATTTGAAGATAACAGCTGGAGCGGGGTGAACAGATGCATCTGTGCTCTGATGAAACGGCAGTAGAGAAAGAAACTCACCCAACTTAGCATTTTCAAAGTGTTCTTTTATAGGGATTGGCATTCTTTGTTTCAGTGCTTTGGGGTTTTTTATACCTAGCTTCTGTTTTTGCAGTTGTTCTTCTTTTGTCTTCAGCTTATCTTAGCCTTGGAGTGTTTTTGCTGCCTACGTGGCAATATTTCTTCTTCTGTTATCTCCTTTGTGGCCTCAAGCTTCAAAGGGATTGTTCAGCCGTTTGTTAGTTACTGGCTGGTAATTTCCACATCTGGCACCTCGTTGCTTACATAAACAGTTAAATCTTCTTTTCCTGTCTCTATGCTATTCTCTCACTATTCACCTTTTTACACACACTTATACATAAAGGCTATGCAGAGTTTATTCACTTATGTCAAGCAGAAGGATACAAAACAGTTTCATAGATTCATAGATTGTAGAGTCGGAAGGGACCACAATGGATCATCATGTCCGACCCCCTGCCCAGATTACCCCAGCCAGGTGACTTTCTAGCCTCTTCTTGAAGACCTCCAAGCTAGGTGAAAGCACCACCTCTCTTGGAAGCCCATTCCAGATCCTGGCCACCCTTACTGTGAAAAATTTCTTTCTAATATCTAACCTAAATCTACTCTTAACTAGTTTACACCCGTTATTCCTAGTCACTCCCTGGGGTGCCCTAGTAAACAGCGCGTCACCTATTCCCCATTGACCTCCTCTAATACATTTATAGGCGGCCACAAGATCTCCCCTCAGCCGTCTCTTGTGAAGGCTGAAGAGATTCAGCTCTCTCAACCTCCCCCCGTAGGGTCTTTCCCGAAGGCCACTAATCATGTGAGTGGCCCTCCTCTGGACCCTTTCCAGATTCTCTGCGTCCCTCTTGAACTCTGGCGCCCAAAACTGGACACAGTACTCCAACTGCGGCCTGACCAGTGCCGCATAGAGGGGGAGCATCACCTCCTTTGATCTATTAGTCATGCACCTGCCAATGCACGACAAGGTGCAATTGACCTTGTTGATGGCCGTGTTATACTGCCGACTCATGTTCATCTTGGAGTCAATTATGACTCCAAGATCCCTCTCTGCCTCCAAGCTGCTGAGAAGGACACTCCCCAACCTACAGGTGTGCTGGGGGTTCCTCCTTCCCAAGTGGAGTACCTTACATATATCTTTATTAAATTGCATCCTAGTTTTCAAGTTGCTTACAAGACTAACATAGTTATATTTTACTATTATTACACTCTATTTTAACATAAGCTACATTTGTTTTTCATGCTACATTTTAACCCAGCCCTCTACTGCTCCATGGCCAAGCTTAGAAATGCACGCTTCCAGCACATAGCGACCCACTCACTGTCCAACCACCCACCCTCCCTATAGCCATCTCACATCAGCTCCACAAGCCCATCAAGTTGCCTTTTCACCAGATTTTCACATTATGGTTCTTCACATTATGCTTTATGCAGCTTTTCCAGACACCAAGCTTCCTAATTGGCATGATTCACTCCTATCAAGCAGTGACACCCTCTTATTTCCCAGGATCAGTGGGATTCAGCGGCCTTCCAACATAAGTGATGATGACAAACAGGGACCAGATTGTCTGGCAAATCTATGACTGACAGCCCCACCCTTCCTATGGAGCCCCCTTGCCCCTTCTCTCCCAGAGCTCAGACATGCACTCTTGCTGAAGCCTCTCCCCGCCTGGCACTCCAGGTACCACCTGAACCAGAGTTGGGAGGTGAAGGAGCTCTGCTGCTCCTCCCACCACAAGTTGTGCTTATACCCAAACCACTTGAAATCCCTGGGGTCTCTAATGGACATTGCATTAGTCATGGCCCAGGTTATCCGTTTGACCCAGACAACAAGGGGTGGCACAGCCAAGTGCACACATCCTCCTGCCAATTGTGACTCCATTGCATTACTTCTCCTCTGCCAACAGGTGGCCAGTGAGAGCCCATCTCCCAGCATGCTTTGCAGTCATCTATTGCCTAATTCTAGGGATTCACCAGCACAGCATTGGTTGGCTCGCTGGGAGTGGTCCAGACTCACCCATGTGGAGCGCCCATCCTTTCCACAGCTA